TGTTTTTGGTCTTTGAAATTTCTCTGGACACTTCAACCCAGAGAAATTCAATTGGGTTGATCCAGAGAAATTATCTGGTTTGTCTTGATAATTTCTTATTCTTATTTGCTAGTGTCCTAATTTTTGCAGAGATAGTCAAGGAAATACTAAAAGAACGCCTATCAAACTTGAAAAAGAATGCAATCATTTTCATTATCATCAAACAATTTTCAGTAGCATACACTGCAAATAACTGAAACAGCAAGTAGTAGACATTCGAAAGCAAAAGAATATGTTTAACTGGGGAGACATTAACAATTGATTCTACAAAATACACAAAATTATGAAGAAATCTACTCACTTCAGCATGGGAGATAAAAGAAAAATATCAACACAATCTCTTAAAAACACCCAATTGCACACTATCTGCAATATCAAGAGATGAGGGTAAAAAAAAAAATTAACAAAAAAAATAAAGCTGAATTCTTATGAATCTCATCTACTAATCACTGAAAATGGAAAATTGCCCTCTAAATTAAGTATTAGTAAAGGAGCAAATGTACTGAGAAGAACAAATTTTATATTTTTTAACCTACATCCGAGGAATTCAAAGAAAAAGGCTTCAATATCCAGAATTTACAATCTGAACTCTGAATCACCAAGTTTAAGAAATTAATTGCTGATTACAAAACAAGTAAACATAAAGAATAATAATAATAGTACATAAACAATTATCAGATCCAGAATTAAATCAAAAGAATTCAGAATGAAAAACCAAAGACCTTCCGAGAATTCCATGAACCATGACGACAAGATGATCAGCGGAAGAAGCAAGAGATTGGTTACAACTCCAAACATCTTGTGCTCCATTGATCGATTCCGACGAGCACACACCATTCTCTGATGTACCGTTTTCCATTACTCTCTCCCTCTCTCTCAGTTATGCATTGGCAAAGCGATAATCAAAAACTTCGATAGAGAATTTCACAGTCGATCGATCTTCGAGTTGTTGAAAATAATCGAGAAAAAATCGTCCAACAGGGAGAGAGAGAGAGGTGCCAATGGATTTGACTGAAATTTGTCTGATATATGTTTAGGACCTTAGACATCAAAAAATAATTTTGTGGACCTCTTCCATTACGAAAAGTGGGAGAGGGACCCTAGACCGATTTTCCCCTAGAAAAATACAAAAGAGTTTGGCAGTATAAATATAAAAAAAAAAAACAAAAAACAAAAAAAAAATCATTAAAATTTTGCTATTTTACTGTTACATGTCTTTAAAGATTTTGCGAAAATCTCGTACTTTACTATCTTCGGATGTGTGAAAGGCTTCATCAATGTTTCGGATTCTCTATCATTTTTTCTATGCATATACTTGTTATAGTTTTTACTATGTCAAGATACGTTAACAAAAATAATTTAATTATCTAAATTTAAAATTAAACAAAATAATATTAAAATATTACATTTTTATTTTAAACTAAATCCCTAAACGATGTATCCTAATCTAGAAAAATGAAATTTAAAATGGTGACAAATAAGACCTTAATATGTGAAGGAATCTCACCAAATTTTTTGCATCACCAAAAAAAAAAAAAACAACAACAACAACAACCCAGAGAAATTCTGTTTTTGGTCTTTGAAATTTCTCTGGACACTTCAACCCAGAGAAATTCAATTGGGTTGATCCAGAGAAATTATCTGGTTTGTCTTGATAATTTCTTATTCTTATTTGCTAGTGTCCTAATTTTTGCAGAGATAGTCAAGGAAATACTAAAAGAACGCCTATCAAACTTGAAAAAGAATGCAATCATTTTCATTATCATCAAACAATTTTCAGTAACATACACTGCAAATAACTGAAACAGCAAGTAGTAGACATTCGAAAGCAAAAGAATATGTTTAACTGGGGAGACATTAACAATTGATTCTACAAAATACACAAAATTATGAAGAAATCTACTCACTTCAGCATGGGAGATAAAAGAAAAATATCTTTAGGAATTTCTCTGGATCACTTTAAGCCAGAGAAATTCTCTCAAAATCAATGAAATTCCTAAAGAAACATTTCCAGAGAAATTCTCTTTAACCCAGAGAAAATTCAGTTCAAATAAAAAAAAAATTCAGTCCAAACAAAAAAAAAAAAAAAAACAGAGAAAGAGGCGGATCTGCACTTATCCCTTTAGCTTCAATCCATCTATTTCTCTCTCTCTCTCTCTCTATATATATATATATATTTATAAATTAAAACAAACAAATACACAAATAATCAATATATAAAACAAAACAATAATATGTGGGTTTCTTTACTTGGTTTGTCCAAGTTCAGGTGAGGAAATAGTTCTCCAAATATTGATCTTTGTTGGTGTTGTAGTGATTCTCAAATTATATACAATAAATTCATTTGTTCTATACATTTTATAGCATAAATGATGTTTATTTTATTCGATCCCATAAATGATATTTACCTTCTGAAAAATATGTTTGAATAATGAAAGTTAAATACACAAAGAAGTGGATTTAATTGAGAGAGAAGTTAGAAAGAGAAAATGAAATATTCTATTGGAATTTGCTGGTGGTGGCTAGAATTGAAAAGCAGTATTGCTTGTATGGATTCAAGATGATTAATTTGAATACTTTTTCTCTAATAGCAAAACTGGGTGTGGTTTCTTTTAGATCTAGAAGAAGAAAAAGAGTGAAAGAAAGAAAGGAGGAAGGGGGTGGTGCTGCTGAAACAGGGTCACCATAGGGGGAGCGAAATGGCTATAGCTTCTGGTTCATCTCCACGGACTCTACTTTCACAGGCTCAACAGCTGGAGCTTCCGGTTCAGCGGTGGCTGGAGCTTCTGGTTCGCACCTCCTTCGACTCCATCTTCGTCGGTTTGAGCCCTGGTCCACTTCTCACCATGCTGCGATTCATCAAGATTCGCAACTTCTTGTATTCACGGTGACGGCGTATGGTTTCAGAAGAGAAAGGAGTGTTGTTCCGATCATCTTCATCTTCTCTCTCTAGAAAGCTCTGGGTTTCTCTCTCTATATGTATGTATGTAAGTACATGTCTGTGTGGTTGTGGGTAAGAATGGCGGTGGGTTTGACTGAAATTTGTCTGATATATGTTTAGGACCTTAGACATCAAAAAATAATTTTGTGGAGCTCTTCCATTACGAAAAGTAGGAGAGGGACCCTAGACCGATTTTCCCAAAATAATATGTTATTTTAATACAGGTCAAATATCGTCAAAGACTTCGTACCTAAAATATGGATAATGATTCGTGTATTTACTCATTAATATTGTTGACTCTGGACTTGTTAATTTTACAGTGAAATTAACTTAATTCTAAAATCACGAGCTTGTGCTTTTGTGACTTATTCATCACCGGATAAAACTTTGGAGTTTGACTGGACTTGTTTCCCAATTTGAGTTTTGGTAATTGTACGGGGAAGAAATAATTCTCCTCGTATAATCCTGTTGACTAAGTCCACGCTCCTCCGTACGACGTCGCTTTGTCACCTGAAAACACAAACGTGAGCTAGCCGGCGAATGTGTGCCATAAACCTCTCCGATGCCTAAGTCAGAAAACTTGACAAATAGACAAAGCTCTATGTTCTCAGAAAGCAAAATTGTGTTGTGTTCTGTTACCTCCTCCAAGGTGATGTTTGTGAGCTTTTATAGGTTTCCTGTGGCACAATCCTAGTAGGACTTGTACTTCTCCATGCAGAGTCCTCCTAGGATTCATACTCCTAAGGATAATGCTTATCCTTTTACACACCCCCCCCCACTGCTTAAACCAAGTGGGATGGTTTTCATCATGGCCGAACTACCACATGACCGAAATAACACTGGCTATGCTGAGCCACAGAGAAGGCCGAACTATCCTTAGTTCGGTTTTCTCCTCCTACTCCTTATCTCGGCTTTCTCCTGTTCAACCATGGTGTGTTTAGACCAAGCTTCCAAGTAGCAAACTCTGACCGATCTAACCATAATATGTCACGACCGGACTAAATGTGAGGCCGGACTCACTTCAAGTTGCCTCCGGACCGGAGTAGCTTTACACATTCTTGAGCCGGAGTAACCATACCTCTCCTGGGCCAGAGTAACTACACTTCTCCTGGGCCGGAGTAACTATACCTCTCCTGGGCCGGAGTAACTTTGCGGTTTTTTCTCCCAGTCCTTGGCACTTTGGGCCACCAAGCCCATCACATAGCTCGGCCCAAGTTTTACCAAAAATTACCCTCTCAGTAATTACAACACTTCGTAACTACAATAGTATCTACCAGCAGAGATTAGTCGAATTGCGCGTTAAACTAATTTGGACACCCGGTGAGAAATCCAAAAATAAAAAATAAAAAATAAAATAAAGAATAATATTTGAGAGCTCGAATTTGGCCTCCTCTAATCCCCCTAATCCCCAAAACGATATCGTTTTGGGAAAAAAAAAAAATTTTCTTCCATTTTCGGCTCAAACGCAGAGGGGAAGAGAGAAGAGAGAGAGAGAGAGAGAGAGAGAGAGAGAGACAGAGGGAGGGAGGGAGAGAGAGCCGCCGATCGTCGCCCCGCCAGCCGCCGATCATCGCCCAGCCCAGCCTAGCCTCGCCTCGCCGCAGCCCCACCTCTGCTGATGGCCCCCTCTAGTCCCCTCCTTCCCCCTCCCCCTCCTCCTCCTCCTCCTCCGTCTTCCGGTCGTAAAAAAAAAACTTAACTGGATTGACCTAGTGGATGTTATTTGGGGTTTGGGGTTATGATCTCTTCAGGTTTCAGATTCAAATCTCATTAAGTGCTATCAACTTCTTAGGACTACACTTGTGGACTTTGCCTAAGATTTGTCTGATTCATATGGAAGGGTGCTTTACGTTGGTTCCGAAATTAATCAAATTGTGCATAAGCTACCTTGAACAACTAATCATTTAAAAAATTAAAACAATGAAATTAATTTGAAATTAACTGTCCTATCCCATCTAATAATGATTGGCACACAATCAAATTATTTTTATCCATATGATATACATGTTTTTAAAAATAAAATATCTATTTATTATAATATATACGTGATTTATATAATTATTTATTAATCTAATTTTATTGTATATATATTATTTTTAATTTATCGTATAAAATAAATTATTTAAATTATTGAGATGAATATAAATTGATTCTACAATACGCAAAGTTCATCTATAATGAATATGAAATTGCCTCGATTGGTTGGAGTTTGGAAGGGGGCCCAGCAAAGCCACGTGACTGTTCATGAACGGTGTGGATTAGTGGGCCCATATTAAAAATAATTATAACATATTGGGGTCATAATCAGGGTATGTAACATATGCAGATATCATGCTTAAATTACATTTAATCATAATTAAAATATACATATAATAATTTTTAATTAATCACTATATAAAATATAATTAAAAATATTTTTTCATAATTAAAATACTAATCACAATGATTAACAGTAAAGTCATAATAAAAGACTGTAAATGTCATAACTAAACATGTAGTGGTGCGCACCCTATTTTGGGTGATTCTATTTGCATTCAAATAATAAACTCAGTACGTAATAAAAAATTAAAATTTTAATTCCTATTATATCCTAATATTATTTTTATTTTCTCATGGTACACTCAAATTATTTATACGTATTCTTCACATTTAACGTTCTTAATTTTCTTCTCCAATTTTCAATTATTTTTTTTTTCATCTCCTTCCTCACTCCAAAATCTATTCCACCAAAACTCACAATTATCATCAATATAATTACTTCTTATTGTGTTGTTACCTACAAATAGAACAAAATAAGAACACAATAATATGTGCCATTGTAAAATAAAAAAATAAAAAATTATGGGTATTGTCAATAACACAATAATTTTTGTATTCAAATAATCAAATCAAATCGAATAGAAAAAAAATTGTCATGTTGAATTTGTCAAATCGAAAAATAAGTAATGTCTCATTCAATTAATCAAGTATCAACTAGTATTATCCAAAAAAAACTCTAGTTCTTGGGAATTGTTAGATGGAGAGAGACGCCATGGAGGTTCAACAACAAAAC